GAAGGAAATGGCATTTGTGAATTGATATGAAAGAAACGATGAAAAATTCATTTGTCATTATTACTTGTATTTTGAATTTAAAACATATATGTATGTCACCTATTTCACTATATTAGCAATGTCTCTGAACCTACAGAGACAAGGTTACAATTAATTACATGTATTAACAATCCGGGGAAAAATACAGTATATACTATCAAGGCACATGTTATTTGATTCTTTAAAAACTATAAAATATACTCATAAATGTAAAGCTGTTTCATATAGTTGAGAAGATAAAAACTTAAATTGAACATTTATATTTTTAACGTTTCTCTAAAAAATTGAGTAATTTTGAATTTGTCAGCAATTGTTCTTTATTTTAAGAACGATCAAGCAGTTAAATCTTGATTAAAAAATTCATTACTAAGGATTTCTCTTTCTAATTCTTCTAGATAGGGAAAATACTGTAGAAACACACATTTTCGTGGGGATAAAATTTCGTTGATTTGTCATCAAAGATAGTTTCGTGGGCATTTAATTTCGTTGTTTGGAGAGTAAACCCATTCAATATATAGTCATACAGAATTTTATGTGGGATTTAATTTCGTTGATAATTGTTAACGACAAAATAAACGAAATTCAATCCCCCAGGAATATTTGTGCTTTTAGAAAAAATATTATCATGTTGTTAAATTGAAGATTTTGTTACATTAACGTGTGTCTCAGAATTTTTATCGTGTTTTACAACGAGATTTTAGAAGATAGTAAATAAATTCCTAATTTGAAGTAATTATTCTTTCTTGAAGTGGTTGAAAGCAATTTAATTACATAAAAAGATCATTCCCACAGAAGAAATACACACAGTCTGATACTAAATATAAGAAGGGTAACTCGCAAATGTATTTCACGACTGACAGCTAGGCTACATGTGTATCCTGCTGATCTTAATTTCGTTCCAAGGAAAACGTCAATAGAAAATGCTTCTTAACGTTTAAGGGAAGAAGCCTATCAGGTCCTAATACAGCTTTAGGCCATTGATGTTTCTTGAATTATATTCATTATACAAATTTTCAAAATTTTTAGTCGGGGAGTAGAGCGTTGATAGAGTATATTGCTGCAGAAGTAACGGAAGTTGACGATTGAATCCTTTTTATATAATTTGTACAGACAATGTGATTTATCCACTTTAAAAATATATAAATGAAAACAAAGTTTTTGAGATGATGATTTATTGTTTAGCTTTAAATTGTTCGCCAACGTACAATTTCGATCAAGTTCTTAGTTTAGTGAAAATCTCGGTAACACTTTGATTTAAAGGCGTATACTATTGAAGCAGGCAGGAGAAAAATATATTAAGCAACTAGTTTTCCAGTGGCGTGGGAAATTTAAAAAAAAAAGAACTTCCATTAAGGTTGATTAAAGGTGTGACCGCCTTTCGGAGGGTTTGTTTTTCCTTCTAGCTGCTAGACAAATTAAGCGTAAATGGACGTTAATCGCTGACGTTTTGTGCTTGACATTGCTACTGAAATTAATACATTATATGGAAAGATGTGGAGTATTTTTTGAAATATGAGTGTAATATGAAGATAAGTCAGCGCGAGAGGATACCCGGGCTTTTATTGTGGACAAAATGAAGAAAAATGCAGCATTCTGTAGAATTACTTGGCGAAATAGACAGGAGAGTTAGGTGCTCTTTTAAAGTGACCAGACATACTTAACTACACGTCATGTCGAAGTTTCCCCCGGATGTCACAATCATCAATTCTCAGAAAGCTCGTGTGACCTTATTTATTATAGGAACGTGGTGAAATTTTCCAGTATTGTTGCACAATGACTCTATATGCATTATAAATGAGCCTATTGTTTTCTTTCATTAAATTATGATAACATTTTAGAGAGAAATTCAACGAATTTTAGGTTCAACCCTCGTAACGCACAGTATTCAAGAGTCCAGAAAACAATACAAAAAAGGAACAGGCAAACACGGACCTCAAAACATCAAAGGTGGGATGAGGTGGCATAGAGTCCCTTTATAATCTATACAAGAGCAGACAGCGCATAACTCTACATATTCACCGAATTTGAGACCGTATTCACCGGTGGGTCAGTTAGCGCTAAGCGGCATTGTGGCGTCCTAATTAAAGCCTCAAAAAGGGTGTTATCAATGGTTGATTAATTAAAGTGGCCTCTGTCACTTTTGTATCTAAAAAGGAAAAAGAAAAATGTAACACAAACTGCTTATTGTAGAGTTATTTTTATCATTTTGACCTCTTATACACAGTGATCTGAAACCCACAGAGAAAATCACAGGGGTTACAAACAATTATGGGCCCTCTTGAATTGAAAAACAGTTTTAGGTTTACTCTGTTCAGGTATATGTGTATTCTTAACGTCAAATAAAATCACATTCCTTCAGTAGCATTGAATCGGTTAATGGTCATATGATCTTTTAACTTATTTCCTTTATAAGATTTTATTAATCATTTAAAACTGATTCAATATTTCAACTTACAAGAGTTCTTTAAGAGTCTGTCTACGACATCGTCGCAAACCATGGACAAAATGAACGATCCTCTACCATTTTGGCCTTGGTTGAACGAGGAAAGATTCTTCGTAGCTTATTAAAATATTGACCAATGCGAGTAAACCATAGTTGGAAAATGAACTTTATGGCGACCATTCAATCGCAGTAAAGGAAATATTTCTTGTATACTGTTGAAATCAGTTGCTTATTTTAATTGTGATGGAAACAAAACTTGCCTCTGACTGAATATGACGTCACAATAATTAATAGAGAGGCGTAAATATTCAAGATTACGACACTTGTTGTGATCAAGCAGCCACGGGTAATAGAGAGGTATATGCGGACTCCGGACCGTGGCTTGAGACGATGGTCAACGAGAAAATATGCATTTATCTTTTCATTGTTCTTTGTTTTCTTTCGCTAAACATTTAATATTACACATGTATATCGCGAGTTAAAAATAACATTTTATAATCCTACCAAATATTAAAATACACTACTTGATTTCAATCTCGGCAAAAATTGCTCGAAGTTTAACTCTGTCTAACAAAAATTGGTACAAATAATAAAAGAGAAATATGTATGTTATTTTATTGTAATTACTTATTAATAGTGCAAGAATTTTCTAATATTTGCAATCTTAACGAAGTTATGAGTGTTTGTTTACACTGTACTCGTGATGAAATGCGTATTATTATATGCAACGATAAGGGTTAAACTGATAAGTCTTAGTCATATCAATGTATTTTAGAGATAGGCCATTAGTGTGTACCACAATACATTCACAGGAAGTGACACATCATGCCTTAAACGATTAGATGGCATGTGTTCTTTTAAAAACATAATCATTGTCTACCTTCTCTTAAGAAGAGTGCAACTTGGAAGATAATTCATACAAATATCTATATAAATTGTAATATACTGATTTTCGCAAGAAAAAAGGGGGGATATTTATTCACTTTCATGCAACTGAAAACAATTTTATTCAATATATCTGTAAATATGTTACACGAAATTAATGCAAATAGCTTTAAGATTAAATTATAAAACCACAAAATCTATACGCAGTATTTTGCATATTTTTACCCTTTCAAAAACCTTTTTTTTTAAGGATAAGTCTCAATAAGGCATTATCTGTGGTTCCCGGTTACTCGTCAAAAAAATAAATGATATTATTGTCTTATGTCTATAGTAATTACACCAACGTTCAATAAATTCAAATAATTGCAATAGACAACTCACAAAGCAGAGTTTGGAAGGTGGGATCTATTAATTTTGCTTCAATATCAAAAGAAATTTGTGACAGGTGCACACTTCATGATCATAGCATTCGTACATTACATCGAACACAGGTTTGAACAAAGTCGAGATCGAAATAAAATATGTACGAGGGTTGTCTGTTTGAAGACAGATGCGATAAAGGTAATAATAGGAAGTTTTTGCTTACAAAACTTTTAAGGAATATAAAACAACAAAAGTAAGAATAATGTTAAAAAATTTAACGTGATACTTTACATATTTTCCAAATTATCATAAAATAAAAAGGCATTATTTGTTCTACCGGCGTAGTCGTCATTAAGTTGCATGACGTCATTGTTTTTCAATGTCCACATTCTCCACCCCATGCAGTAAAATGAAGGACACCGAGTCTCAACTCTGACATCTCGACTTTTCCCGATTGTCCCGCCGATGTCGAGATAACGAAGTTTACCTGTTATCATCAAATCTTCGATACGCTGTTTTGGAGAAGGACTTTTCCTTTATATTTCTATGTAAAATTATTATTTCCTATTGTGCAATCACCCTATTCCTGGGGGTAATGTTTTGAACAAAAATGAGCATACACTATTTTAGGACGATTCCCTCTGAGTTTCATTTTTCGTAGCCCAGTTGTATTGGAGAAGGAATTTAAAGAATATACCATTAATTTTTCACTAAATATTATTATCTCCTCTTTGAATATGGCGTGACCCTTCGTTTGAGCAAAACTTGCAATTGAATCCCTTTTGCAAACAGTGTTCTGTGCAAAATTTGTTTGAAATAATTATGTCCAGTGGTTTTTTAATTTTATCTTTTAATGAAGATACGAAACGTTTAAGATAACGAAGACAACGTCATCGCCGACAACGACACTGGAAAGTTTTGATCAGAAAATTAATTTTTTTTAAATGCATGTAGTGCTAAATATAACATAATTATACTTTGACCGCGAGACATTTGATGCCACCTGTACTTGAGTAAACATGTTAATTTTTATTCAATTGTATATTAATTATGTCAATTATGCTTGGAGTTACTCTACATTGTGATTGTTTGTGTCTTTATTGTTATAAAATTGTTGTTTTATACAAAATTTTCAAGTGGAAACTGGACATTGCACTGTCAACGCCGACATCCAGATCGTGTAAAAACGCCACTTTTGGATCATGATGATGGATTATTCAACTAAGTATCGACTTGTGTATTTCTACCGGTTCTTTTGCTTTGAAGCGAGTTATAAAATGGAACAAGTTGACTTTAAATTGGTTTCCAATCTGGTTTGTTCTCCAACTTGTACTAGAGGCAATCTTTCTACCTTTACAAATGTTTCTTCTATGTCTATCATAGCTGATTCCTCCTGCAGAAGCTCGTACATGTATGATTTTTTGAAATCCCCATATGTATAACATCCGCAATTGTTTCTCGCAATTTTCTGTTCTACCTTCTCAAAAAATGATTGTAGTTGTTTTTCCATTTCTTCTTTATCAGTGGCTTTATTATTTATTCCGACATAATCACATTTTTCTACGAAATCTTTAATTTTCTTATCGGTTTCAGCGATAAGGGACGGAATAGTTTGATATTTCTCCAAGTTGTCTGCTTTTGTAAATACTACAAGAACGTACTTTGTTAATTCCTCTCTAAATAAATCTTTCAATTTTTCAAGTAGGAATAATGTGTCTTCTGATAATTTTTCAAGACTTATTACAAATGCTAAAATATGAAATCCAGGGCTAAGTCTCAAAAGCAAATTTGCCATTATTTTAACGAATTTATTCTTAGGGTCGACCTCAGAACCTTGAGTCTTTCGGTGAATTCCTGGGGTATCATATATTATGAGCTGCTTTTCTCTCCATTTTCCTATTCCACACTTAACGTTTCGTGTTACCACACTTAGTGAGCATTTAGATTCAAATACATCTTTGGCTGCCAGTAAGTTATTTCCAAATGCACTTTTTCCAGACCCAGGTATGCCAATCAAGAGAATTCGCCTGTCTTCATGTTTGTAAATTTGGTTTACATTTGCTGAAACTATAAAAAAAACTTTTCAAATTTGATCTCAAATATACTTTATTATTAGTATGTACACTGCACAGGTATATTATATATGACGAATATTTTGGTGGGTTTAACACTACACATTATTTGAATTGTTTAGATAAGTAAAAACGCGTGTTTAGTGATTACGTATACAAGAAATGATATACTAGACTAAAAATATAACCAGACCCTGTGTGTTCGATTTACATGTTTTATAATTTTTTTTCATTCTGTAATTAATTATGTTGATTTATATAATTACTAGAGACTAGAAAATAGTAATTTTAGTCAAAGAGAAAATTTTAAGATTTTTCAAATATTGCTTCAATTGTCAAGGCATTAATATTGGCAATCTGTTCGAACTAAATTAAGTCAAACATAATCTAAAATATGCCTTTATCATTCTATATACATGTATCTTGAAGAATACAAATGATATCGTTTTGTGCGAACCCAGCAGACACTGAATACATATTGGTACACTACAATTTAGGCAGTATGTCTCGCACCAGTTTTTCTTATCTCTTGGCAGTATACATAATGGAAACATAAGAGGTGTTGATATTTTGAAACAAAAGCATTTACTCTGTTTTTCTTAGTGGATATTGGATAACATCTAGTAAAAATAATTTATATTTATTTCATGGAAATCATTTTATATATGTCTTTTCATCAACGATTCGTATTAAATGTGCACTGAACTTTTTATTAGTATAGGGCTTCCCTTTTATAATCCAAGGCGCATTTCTTGTATTATCAAATCATGCATTAAGAAAACTATTCATGAAATTTGTCTTACGAACTTGTGCCGTATTCAGTATTGAATTGTTCCTACCTCTATGACCTTTAAAATCCCATACTGAAAATGAAAGAGTTGAATTATGTAAGAATTTAATTTTACAAATGATAACAAGGAAGGCATTCCATTAGACTGTTTCTTACCTTCTTGTTCCATATCTGTTCTTCTTAATGGCTACGTCTTCTGCGCACGCACAACTAACTGTCTTTCACTGCGACCACATTGCATAATTCACATAACACAGATAACAATATGAATGTCAAGAATATTTCTTTTGGGAATGTGTTTCATTAATGATTAAGGATTTCACGTGACCAGAAATAATCGTGTATATCATAAGAACTATGCAGACATGCTAGAACTTGATTATTGTCTTTAAGTGTATTTAAAAATGATCTTATTAATTTAACAGTTTAAATATAAAGTTAAAACTGATAACTTTAGGTATACATGAGTTTAAACTTTAGATTCACACTTTTAATGAAATATATATGTAGATGAAAGTTTAAGAGTTTGAAAGTAAAGAGAAGTGGGAATGGTTCGAAATGAAATATGCAGTTTACCGATACTTTCATTTTTTACGATTCATCTATCTTTACCACAATACACGTTGAGTAAAATGGTAATCAAAACATAGAATAATCAGAATTCTAAGATGTCTTTTTTGGTGTCTATTTTGATGTCTATTTGGAAAAAATTATCAATCAACGTTGGTTTTTTAGATATCAAAACAAAGAAATAAACAAGGGCTGGTTATTCATTAACTGAGCAAAAAGTCCTAAAGTAGGTGATTAAGACATTTTTGGTCTCCTAACTGTACTTTTCATAACATATTTGATTCCTCATATAACTAGAACTTGATCTCTTTCCGTCATTAGTATCAAGAGACATTACAAAAATTACCTCACATCTTCAAACATATCAAATAAAGTGCGAATAATCGTAAATAATTGAAAATTCTTAAACTTTGAGCAATAAAAATTTGATCTCTTATAAATTCAAATTTTTATTACCCAAAGAAGGAATACACCAGTAAAATATGAAATCCATAGGCCACCCTATCAAAACTTATGGGCAATAAGTTTTTGCGGTCAAACAGACCTGGAGTTTGACCTACTTAAAAAAAAATCAAACTTTAACATTACCAATATTTTTCAACAGTTGGTGAGTCGCCCGCGTGGCGCAGTGGTTAGAGCATTTGCTCTAGAGTCGCGAAGTAATGAGTCAATTCTTACGTCGCGGGTTCGAATCCCACTGCGGGACGTGGAGACCGATCCTTCGGATGAGACTGAGACCGTATAAACCGAGGCCCTGTGTCGCAGTAGGTGCTGGCACGAAAAAGATATCCCTCACTGCTCAAAGGCCCTGAGTGCCCAGCATAGGACAAAATTTGTAGCCCTTCACCAGCAAGTGGTGGTGTCTCCATATGATTGAAAGATTCTCCAGAGGGACGTTAAACAACATACAATCAATCAATCAACAGTTGGTGGTAAGACCTTCTTACCTGGTAAGGGCTCTTATTGTGACAAGACCTTTTAGTGAGTATTAATATTTTTGACTTGTTGATCTTGAGATTAGAGTTTGACCAACTTTAAAAAAAAATAACCTACCCCATAACTTTTTATCAGTTGGAATTAAGGCTCTCATTTCTCAAAAATGTATTGCTTGTGATAAGAACGTTTAGGGATACCATCAATTTTGACCTTTTGACTATGGATTTTGAATTGCATTTGAGACACTCTTCAACCTTTGACACAAAGTACAACTTTGTTTAATATCAGCATTTCATGAGTTCTATGGTCCTTAAAATGACCATATTAGCAAATATATCTTATCACAGGAGCAAACGGATTTTGTCTGACTAATTCTGCACTAATTATGAGGTCTAAATGACATTGTATATGTTTAAACTTAATTTGACTGGGGGGAGTCCCGTCTTCTTTAATTTATTGATACATAGGGCAAATGGCGATTGTAACCGGTCGACAGGGGATGCTTACTCTTTATAGGTAAGTGATCCCACCTCTAGAATTTATGGAGGTCTGTGTTAATGCGATACATGCATGTCTGCAGTTTTACCGGGTATTATAATTAGAGCAGTACTGAAACGGAAAAGGTTCCATGAAATATGAAGCATTGGTTTGTATACCTTCGCGACTAAGCTACAGTTATCTCCAAGGTCAATTACTGAGATATTCAAGGCGACAAAGGTGCATCAACGCTTAATGTTACAGAATAGCAAGTACGAGAAAGTCCAGACAGCAAAAGCAAAGATCAAGACGTGGAAAAAGTGGCCAGTAAAGAAAACTATAGAAAAAGAAGAAACCCGCTTGAGACACAGTGACATTGCGGGAAGACTCGATATAGGAAGGCAAGGGCGCTCTTGGTGTCACACCAACAGCAGCATGTTGGACAGCTTAGTAGTTATTCATTAGACAGTAGTTAGATAGACAGTAAAATAGAACAGCAGTGATGTAGAGTCAAGTGTTTCCAAGCTGGGACATGATCACCCCAATCGGCGTACCTCTGGAGTCTGTATTGGACAGCGCCGAAACAGCCGATGAAGGAGGATCCACCTAAGGATGGAACCACCCTTTCCATAAAGATGTACATCATTAATGGAAACAACGAACAGTATTTTAGCTCTTAAGTCCTTTCAAACAATATAATTCAGGAGCAGAGCAATCAAATAATAAATCACGGCCAGGTTTATAGACCTTTTCTCTCATGATAATTAAATTTCTTTTTTTCATACTTGTACATGCTAAGCACAATCTTTTTCGTGCATTCATTTCTGTGTGCTTAGGTCAGGAGTAAATATAAATCCGGTCTTATCGCGTGATTCGAGTTAGCACTCAGCTATAATCAGCTATAAATAGAAATTGATATCGAACAGGTTTTTTGGGCTCGTTCTTTTATGAATTGTTCATAAGATATTTTTTATTCAATTTAAATGTACAGGATTCGCCGTATAATTTTAATCAAAGAATTCTAAAGGCATAATACATTTGCATTGTATATTATAGGTAATTATATTATAACAGTACTTATCCCAGACATCGATATCAAATGGAATTTATTTTAAAACTTATAGAGTGAGACCAAGAAGACTTTAACGAAATACATCAACATTGTATATCATAGGGAAGATTATAATTAGAATTATCATGTTTGATCGAACTGAGTATACACGACTCATAAAGGCTGTAACTTTATATTATTATTATAAGCTCTGTTAGTTTCTATTTCAAATGCAAAACAGACAAGCCCAAAAAATTATCAAGTTCTTGAAACCTTTCTTGAAACGAATTCTGAATTGTATTACGATTTGATTTCTGTTGAATAGGTAACAGGTAGTACCAAATCTTTGTGTTCCCCTCCAAATAAAAAGGAAATGCATCCACAATCTTTTTGTCTGGCAAGTCATGAAATTTTGCCCAATAAAACAATTGTCATAAAACACTTGCAATTACATTCTTCATATAAGTACCAACACGGTCAGCCTTGAATTTATCTAACCTAATGGTAGGACACATTTTAGATTTTTGTTTTGTATTATTGTACTCTGCTCGTTCTCTGAATGGCCCAGAAGATTGTAGTATGAATGTCTTTGATCGTCGGCACTAGGATTAAGAGACAGGGACTCCGACACAGAACTATAGTTGATGTGTAAAATATCAAATTGTTGACTCCCTGGCCACTAAAGGGCCGGCTGGTACATGTATTACTCGGGAATATCTAGTTAGCCCGAGAGTTTTTACTTCGTTTTGGCTGTCGCACTTGACTGGCAGTACCAGTGGGCTGCATCACTGGACACGCAGTGGGCACAAGTTTATCAAAATTCATTAGTCCTAGTTTATTGAAATTTGTTGGTCCTGTCCAGGGAGTGTCGGGTCTTTTTCCAAAAATGGCCTTGTCGATCGTCTGACGTCTCTGGTACTAGTCTCGTCTCTGGTCCTCATCTGGTCTTTGCTTCTCGTCTCGACTCTTGTCTTAAATACAAGTTGGAGTATTCCTCTTCTGGGAGCGTCTCGTTTGGAATTTAAATCTTTGCTAAGTAGCTGTGGCGGTGTAATATCGTCAATGTCTGGTATTTCAAAGTTGTCCCCCAAAAGTAAGTTAGATTGTAAATCCCGGAGTTTTTTAGATTACTTCTCAAGGGTCAGAACGTCGGGCTCTTGTTTTGGTAGAGCTTCAGAGGAATTTACACTTGGTTGATATGTATCCCGGTTAAACAACATTTTACTGTCCTCTAAATCTGGTGGTTTAATTTTGTTTTTCGGGGAAGCAACGGTACGCGTCAAACAGCCAGTTTCAAACGCTGCAATGGTGTCTCAGTCCTTGACGTGGGTATATTTTTCATACATTTATTTAACATATATTACATTATGTCATCCATAAACAAAATCGTATTCTCTCTACTAATCATAACCAGGCCAATTTCATTCTAGACTCCAGCCTAAAAATGCCTTTTTGGTAAATCTCAACAATCAAAGTCAATGAATGACATTGGGCCGATCATGAAATTGTTCATAGAAACCGGGATCTTCGCTATTTCAGTGAGAGGATACACCAAGAGGAATAACTCTATTAATACTTGAGCTGGGTCGAAATTGACTCAAGTCAGCTATTTATTTTATGAGATAACTCCATGATATTACACTTTCAAAATTCCTTCTCAATCCGAGGACCTTCCCTGACCAGAACAGCTCACAAGCTCTGGTTCCCAACCTGTATAAAATGAAAGCAGAGATAGACACAGCCCAGTTCCCGACTGTTATTATATTAAAGAATCCTTTTATTTTGTAATTACAATAAATAATTTTACACAAAATAATATACTTTATAATAAATAATATAAAATATTTAAACCTGTAAATAAAATAAACCATCCGAAAATTTAATAATTTTACAAAACTTTTCAATGATTACTTTCACTTCGAATTTTAATTTATCTTTAATTAACATTATTTCGCCCCCCAGCACTCTTTAATTTACTAAAGCATTTTGAAAATTATTTTCTATTTTTTGCAAAATCTTTAAATATTACTTGGTTTAGTTAATTTATACCAACAGCTGACCTCTTATCACTTGAATTCATTGGTTGCTCCTTCACCTTAACCAAATATATAATAAACAAGTAAAGAACTACATTC